CGTCCCGGGGACTGGCTTCGTCCTCCTGGGCCGTTTGCATTGACCGCCCCGTGGCCCGAAACGTACCCAGGAGATCCGGACAGAGGAACAAGCTGCCGCTCCGACTTTTGCTCGTGACGACGGAGGTCTGGGGCTCCCCCCCCCCTCCCGCTCCAGAGCCCCTCCCTTCAAGGGCAACGATAGAGGGGGATAGGCTCAGAGGGGGATGAATCGACCCCCAATCGCCCACTGATCATCGAGAAGGGTCTGATAGTTCCACCCCGCCCAGGATCGCGCGGACTCGCTATCAGGCCCCATCGCTCGTTATCAGGACCTATCGCCGATCCATCGGCGATGCATCGGCAATTCCAGGTTGGTGTCCCCCCCAGAGCCAGTCCCCCCCCCACGCCATCCGCCATTCCCCTTACGATTCTACGATTCCACGATTCTACGATTCCAGGTTGGCCTCGCCTGCGGTCGCGAAGGGGCCCCTTGCGCCTCACTGGGGCACGGAGCGCTGCAGGGCAGGCCCGGCCGCGAGAGCCGGGCGCTCGCGCAATGGGCAACGCCACCTTGCGGCGCGCACCAGCGGGGCTCCTGGCCGGCGAGGGGCTCGACGACGGCGCCGCGCGCCGCCCCCCGACGCGGGCCGCGCCCAAGGCTCGGGGGCGTTTAGGATCGAGGGGGGTGATGACTAGGGGTGGGTGGATATCATGGCGGGGTCCATGAGATCTCCCCAGCTTTCATGGCGCCTCTTCTCATTTCAATACGTCCCTCGCCCCCCCCCCTGGGCCGCGCGCATGTTGCCCGCCATGATGTGCGCCCCCCCTCTTGGACACCACCCTCTTGGCCGCCCCCGAAAGGCACCCCCCGCATTCCCCAGGGGCGAAGGCCTCTGCAGGGCCGCGCTGCCCGCCGGCGCGAGGCCCAGGTACGGGGTGCTGCAGGATCGGCGGCTGCGCGCGAGAGCGACCTCTCGCGCCAGGACCCCCGGCGCGGGCCCACGGGGGGTCCCCCCCGGCACTGGCCTGCGCGCTCGGACTGGCCTCCGCGCCCCCCCCCGCGGCCCCCGGGAGCCGCGCACCAGGGGTCAACCCTTGCCCCGGGTCGCCCCCGCGTGTAGCCGAGAGGAGGAGGTCGAGGCCGTCGAGGCCGGCGGGGCCAGCGGCAGCCGAAGCCCCGCGAGGCGGCCGGCGCATGCGCCAGAAGAGCCGCCGCCGGCATGGGTGGCGGCCATACGGCAGACCGAGAGGGCGTCGCCCTTCAGTGCGCCGCTGTGGGGCGAAGCTCAGGCGCCCAGCCCCGGCGCCCTGTACGGCGCGCCGGCAGCGGCGCCGACACAGCCGCAGCCTCCATGCACCTCCGGGGCACGCCATGGCCACGAAGGCTCGCGCCCACCAGGGGTCGGACAGGACGGGTTCGGGACGGGGGTCTCATCATGTCGGTGTGCTATGCCGCGCAGGGCCCTTTTGAGATCAGGGGGCGTTTGTCGGCCAGAGATGTCACCCAATGGGCTTCGATGAGCACGCGTTCTGTCAGAATCCGCCGCCTCTCGCCCAGACTGTTCGCCATAACTACCTCAAGCAGGTAGCCTGCGTTGGAGGGCAATTGATTCGGCGATGAGGCTGCTGGTCGCAGCCTGCATCGTGCGGGTGGGTAGAAAGTTTCTCTGTCGCGCCTCCGCGCTACCTTCTGCCTACCCCTGCCCTCGGCGTGCCGCCTGCGTCTCTGCGTCTGAAACAGGTCGCGCGACAGCGAGCAAGCGTGTGCGTGATTGTCTGAACCTCCGTAGCCTTGGCTCACGCCCGCTGGGCGGCCAGCTCTCCGCCGTGGCCAGCGTGGGCGATAAGCGTTGCCGCGCTGCGCCCCCCGGGAGGGAGCCATGCGCCCACCGGCCAGCGCCGCAGCGTGGGCGCGACGCGGGCGATGCTGGGCTCTCCCCAGAGTTCGCCCGCGGGGCCGTCTTGGGCGTGGAGTCCCCCACCGCACCGCTCCTTGAGCGCGCGCGCGGCGCGCGCGAAGTCCGAGCCGCGGACGCCCATCGATTCCTCTAGCCGGCCCGCCGCATTCGGCGACAGCCCGTGCCGTCCGCCGCGCAAGGACGTCTGCAGACCTTTGGTTCCCGCAGAGCTGTTCGAGGCGCCGTGCACCGCGCTGGCAACTTCGGGCGGCACCGCCTCTTTCTTCAGCGTGCTCTACAGGGAGGCGTGCAAGCCAGTGGGCGCGCCTCTGGATCGCTACGTGGGGAAGGACTTCGGGAGGGCGGACTACGAGGTGGAGTTCTACCACGCCCTGGGCGACGCCGCGGCCGAGAGCGAGGCGTGGGGCAACTTTGCACAGATGACGCTGGAGTGCCCAGGTGTTTGCAAGATCCTTTGCCAGCTTCCGGGCCAGCCAGCGCCAGTGGCGCGCGATCTCTTGTTGCTGGAGAATCTCCGCGTGGGCTTCGAGAAGCTGCGACTGTGTGACATCAAGCTCGGCGAGGAGACGTCGGTCGCCTTCTGGAAAGGGAAGGGCCTGATCTCTGCCTGGGGTGGCTCGCGCCTGGACTACCTGACGAACTCGGTCGACGAGGGGCTGCGCCTCGAAGGGATGGAGCAGCCTCCGGCGGCTCTTCAAGATCTGCTTGACTCCGTCACTGACGAGGGGCACTACGCTGGCCACATGAGAAAGATGATCATCGGGGCCAAGCTGTCCCAGCGCTTCGTGCTGCAGCGCCTCGGCGCGCAGGACTTTCTCACGGCGTGGCTGGATGTCTCCTCCTTGGGGCCGGGCTGCGAGCGTCACGCGCACGGCGCCGTGTGGGCTGCGCTCGGGAGCGTCACGCGTTTGGTGCGCGCATTGGCGAAAATACCTTGCCCGCAGCAGTGGATAGGCTCATCTGTGGCGCTTGGGCTGGAGGTGGGCGAGCTTGCGTGCGAGGAGCCCAGAGTACTCGTGAAGGTGTTCGACTGGGGCCGCGCTGGGCTTGCGCTCCCCGAGGCATTCGCACAACTCGACCCCGAGCAGAAGAAGGAGCGCACCGCCCGCTGGCAGCAGTATGTGGCAGCGGTCTGCCGGCTCCACTGGGAGTTTGCTCGCCTGGCTGCTCACAGGTGCTGCTGCGACTCGTGGACCGCCCTCGCCTTCGAGGTGTGCGCGGAGTCCATCAGTGTGACACGCGCCGCGCTCTTCAAGATGAAGAGTGGAGCCGGCGACCACAGGTATCATGTCATCGGCGTTGCAATGAGAAGCATGGAATCGGAGGAGTGCTCTGCTGGCACAGGTGCGGTCTGGGAGACCCTGCCCTTGCGCGGCGCCGAGGCGGGCGGCCAGGCGCTTGCTGGGCAGCTCCACTTCCAAGTTTCTCGACGGATCTGCGACGGCTCGACCACCACACGAGTGGGCCTGGGGGAAGTCACACAGCTGCAGCAGACGCCCGGAAGCTCGACGGCCATTGTCGTGAGGGTGATCGCATTCGCAACGCCGCAGGATGCGCTGCGGCACGTGCAGGCGCGGATGAACGGCAGCATCCCGACAGACAAGCTCGACGGGCTTGCCAGCGTACAAGACACATCCCCTGGGCGCCCTGGCCCGAACGGAGCATGGACTTGGGATACCAGCTTGGAGTTCATCGGTCTTGGCGCTGGGGCCTCGTCGGCCCAGGCGCGATTGCAGAAGGTCGTGCCCGAGTGCCTCGGTACAGAAGGCGTGTCACCAGGGACCTGCCCCGTGCTCCTGCCTGGCCCATTTCTGGGGAGCGCAGAGGCGAAGTCCGCCTCGCGGTCATGGAGCGCGAGGCTGGTGCCTTGGCTCGGCCGCAACGTGGATAGTTGGTCCACGCGGCACAGCCTTCCTCCGCAACGGCGCAAGAGCGTGCCAGCGTCGAAGCGCTACAACGAGTCAGGTGCCAGTGGCCTGACGTCGCTGTTTGGCAGCTGGATCCGGCCCGACGAGCCCGTCTCCGCGAGCACCTCCGCTTGCTCGGAAGCCCGCCCAGACGCCCGCGAGGGCGAGAAGGGGCGCCTGTCTCCGAGAGCTGGCCAGAGGGTGCCGCGGACGAAGCGCCTCAGCGAGCCGAGCGTCGGCGGCCTGACGTCACTGTTCGGCAGCTGGAGGAGGCCCGACGCGCCCATCTCCCCGAGCGCACTCACCTCTGCCGGAGCCGACCCAGACTCTCGAGGGGGCGAGGAGGGGATCATGTCCCTGAGTCTCTTCATCGGGCCGTCCGACGGCGAGGACGGCGGCGATGATGAGCGCTCCGGCTCCGTGAGCGGAGGCGCCTGGCAGTCAGACTGCGCCGCGGCCCACTCGGCCGACGCTGGCACGGCTCCAGTCAGCTGCCCGCAGCCGCGGCAGTGCGCCGCAGCCCCAGAGTGTACGCGCGCCTGCGAAAAAATACATGGGGGCACTGGGAGGTCAGCCGACTTGGGCGTTGCGTAATGGGTGGGTCATAAATGGGGGTGTGGCGAGGGTGGTCCGAAAAGGTACCCAAACGGTACCTAAACGAGCCATCTGGGGCTCCGGAGGGGCCCGAAAGGGGCACGAAAGGGAACCCATTTCTAACCCCCCCACTTATGACCCCCCCATTCAGCCACGCGCAACCGATCTTTACATTCTGTCGTCGCCAAAAATCGAAACTGATGTTCGTCTCGCTTCGGGCCCGGGGACCCTCGCGGCTCGGTTCGGCCCGATCGACCGCGCCGTATTTTCTCCAACGTTACACCGTTACACATTTTACACACGAGCTGAAATGGTCAACGTGGTCGCGCATGAGGCACCTTCAAGCCAGGATGCGTTACCGCAGAATGCCTCCCAGTCCTTCCCCTCACAACTCTTCTTCGTCATAGTGTACATCTGAAGGGCTGCGCCCTCGGCCGCCGGCTGTTCGGCCGAGCCATCTTGTGGGTTCCTCTCGCTTCGAGGATGGCGTGTTCGGAGCGCGGCAGGTTTGGGCGCTGCGACCGCTCGCTCACCCATGTTCCTCCTCGTTTTCCTCTTGTCTGTCATGATGTAACTATCGTGGGATAGAAAGGCGGCGCAAAACATACTTGCATGGGTCGAGTGTTCACGGCAGGTGCGTGTTAACTGCGTTCTGAAGTCTGGTTCCTTTTGATGACCTTGCTGTTTGTCGTGCGCGTGGCTCGAGTACGGTGGCGCTTGACGAGTACCACAACCACGCGTGCCCTCATCCTCCAGAGGTCTCTGATGTTCGGCTCGGGTTCGCACATGGACGTGGAGCCAGAGATCCCAGATGCTCCCGAGTGGCCCTTCCCAATTGGGAAGCGGAAGGAAGAAGGAGAAGGAGAAGGGCCGTCTCAGGCCAGGATTCTGGTCATCTCAGCCGGTGGCAAAGGCTGAGGCAAAGAATGCGGAGGAGCAGAATCAACCAGAGGCCAGTCGGACGCGATGGACAGCTCTACGCTGCAGTGGATCGCGATGCAGACGCTGGCCAGTTCCAGGGCCATTGCAGATCTCGAAGCCAACGTGAAGGACCATTTCCTGCTTGGAGCGGAACCGTGGCTGGCCAAAGCATGTCTCTGCTCCAAGACAGAGCTCAAGAAGAAGCACTGCAGCGACTCGTCAGTCGACCTTGCGAGCATGGACCTGCCATTCACCGCAGTCCAGAAAAGGGCGAGACCGCAAAACATATCCCAACCCCTGGGGGAATCAATATTGCGAAGGCCTTACGGCCGGGGCCGCCGACCCTGCATCACGACCACAACGACGAAGCTCTCGGGGGCATCCTGGGGGTAGTTTGGGAGCCTCGTGGGGGCCTCTTGGGGCTTCCTGGGGGTCTCTTTGGGGCCTCTTGGGGCTTCTTGGGGGGCTTCTTAGGGGCCTCTGGGGTCTCCTGAGAGCTTCTCAAGCCGAGGGCTCGAAATGTCCATTTGGGTTCCCCGTCTGGGCTCCCTCTTACAACCGTCTTGGGAGCCTCTTCGATCGTCTTGGAGGCCTCTTGGACGGTTTTGGGGCCCTCTTGGGTCGTTTTGGGGCTCTCTTGGACCCCTCTTGGGCCATCTTGGGGCAGTCTTGGGGGCCTCCTGGCCTGTCTTGGAGCGTCGGGAAGCTGACAAGGCGGGAATGCCCAAATCTTTCCAAAAGCTAAAGGAAATCGATGATTTGTGTTCCTTGGTGCCCTCTTTGAAGTCCTCTTGGAGTCCTCTTGGGACGATTTGGCAATTTTTTGAGCCGTCTGGAGGCTACTTTGGCAACTTGGACCGATACTTCAGCGATTCGGGGGCTTTTCTGGGCCCCCGAACCGCCCGGGGGGAGTCGCATCTGACCCTGGACTTCCCCGGGACTTCCCCGGGACTTCCCTGGCCCCCTCCCCCCCCCGGCGGGGAAGGGATCAAAGGGAAGGAGTTTCCCTTCGACTCCACTACAACGTTGCTCAATTGCGCTGTGGCTGGCGCGCTCGACGACGACAACGACCACGACGACGACGACGACGAGTCAAACGGAACAGCCTCTTCCACACGCCGACAGGGTCGGCGGATTGGCTTGCTTCTGGAAGAAGCCCTCTTGGGGGTCCTCTTGAGGCCTTCTTGTTGCGTCGTTGTGGCCTCTCTGGCCGTCGTAAGGCCATTCTGGAGCGTCTTGCGGCCCTCTTTCACCGTGTTGGGCTTTTCAAGCTCGCTTCGGAACCTCCCGGTTCCCTTTTCGATGCCTTAGGCTTTCCTGGCCGTTCGGCCGCGTTTTTGCGGGAATCCTGGGGGACCTACTAGCAGCCAAAAACTTGATCCCATCGAGATGTTTTTGTCTGGCGCCGCTGGGCCCCCAGTAAGCAGTAAGATGTGGACAGGACTGGAGAGATAAGCAGCACCATCATAGAAGTAAACCGACGCAGAGGCTACAAGGCAGCAGTCCACCAGGAACCTTGACAGCCTCGCGCCCCCAGGCCTGGGGTGGGGGGGAGGGCTGGGGGGGCTTGGGGTGTCCAAGGTAAGGCCCAAATGGGTCCCAGGAGGCCAGGGTGCGCCCGAGGTGACGCTAGGAGGGCCCAGCCTGGGCGCAGCGCTTTGAGCTCGTGCTGACTATGGATGTGCCGAGAGGGCGATGTAGCAAAACGGGGTCGACTTCGCGGACATTCATGTGCGAGGTCGCGCGTGCGTGCCATGTTTTCCACGCTGCGTGCCGCATTGGCGGCAAGCGTCGAAGGTCGTCGCGTCGTGGTGCGTAAAACCATTGTTTTTTGTTGCGAAGTCAAGTCTGCGCCAGCAGCGCTTTGTCCTCACGCGTCGGAGCGATGGGGTCGAGTTCGCCCGAAGATCTGGCACTTGCGTTCGGCTCTTCCTTTGAAATGAGAAGGTATTATGGTGATGACCTCCAGCAGCAGCGGGCGCGTGGGCAGCGCTGTTCGAGAGAGCCCTCGTCGGAACGATCTGCGCCTGCGACTGGATATTTGGGCTCGGACGTCTCGGCCCCGAAACTTAATCTTCAGCCGCGTCCTGGATGTTGTTACTCGTGGGCGCCACGGGCCGCACGCCGTCTGTTTCCCTCGCAGCACCCGCCATCTCTACGTGCGTCGACTTTGTGCGGGCACTTCTGCTGAACGCCTGCGCCAGGCAGAGCTGCAATCCGGCTTGGCCACCAGCAGGGTCGCGCGAGAGGCCAGCGTGCCACAGGCGCTCTGCGTCCAGCGAGATCGTGGCGCTTCTAATATCACGGGCGGAAGGACGAGCATGAGGAGGAGGAGGAGGAGGACGGGGAGGAGGAGGAGGAGGAGGAGGAGGAGGAGGAGGAGGAGGAGGAGGAGAGGAGGAGGAGGAGGAGAGGAGGAAGGAAAAAGGAGGAGGAAAAAGGAGGAGGAAGGAGGAGGAAAAGGAGGAGGGAGGAGGAGGGAGGAGGAGGAGGAGGAGGGAGGAGAGAGGAGGAGGAGAGGAGGAGGAGGGGAGGGAGGAGGAGGAGGGGTGAGCCAGGGCGAGAGTGCGGGCGGCGCGTGGAGAGCGCCAGCCCGCGCGTCGCAGCCCATCGTGGCTGGGTGCCTCGCTCTGCTGCGGCAGCGGAAGAAGCCTCGAGCACAGGCGCCGGCCTGACAACGGCCGCCGCCCCCGCGGCCGCCGCGCTGCCGCCCGGTTGGAGCCCGCCCAGGCCAGCGGAGTGGCACGAGGCGGGGGGCGAGGGCCAGCCGTCTAGCGTTTGTCGTCACCTCCCCTTCTCCCCCTCCTCTCCTCCCTCCGCCTCCCTCCTCTCCTCCCCCTCCTCTTCTCCCCCTCCTCTCCTCCCGCCCCCTCCCCTTCCTTCCCTCCTCTCCCCTGCCTCTTGTCCTCCCCTCCTCTCTCCCCTTCTCCAATTCACCTCCCCCTGCCCTGGCCTGCTGCTTTTCTCCCATCCTCCTGCGACACGGCCGAGATGGACGACGACGACGACGACGACGACGACGACGACGACGACGACGACGACGACGACGACGGCGACGACGACGACGACGACGACGATGGCGATGGTGACGACGACGACTGCCGCGGCCCTCCGCGCTGCTGCCGAAGGCCACCGAAAGCCTCCGACGCCCTCCGAAGGCATCCCCAGGGCCGCAGGGTGGCCACCGACGGCCTCCGAAGGGCCGCCGATGGGCTCGGACCGCGCGGCGGGCGCCCGCGAGGGCCCACCTCGGGCGCCGGCCGTGGCCGCGGCGGGCGCCGCCAGCGCCGGGCGCCCTGGGGGGATGCTCTCGGGGCGGATGGCAGGGCCAGGCGGCAGGGGTTCGAGGCTCGGCGTGTTCGGAAGTGGTCGTTCGTTCTCGACGCTTTGCCAGCCTCGGGGTGCCTTGCAGCAGCTGCGGCTCGCCGAGGGCTTTCCCGGAGATCCTGGAGCGTCCCGAACGGCCGCTGGAGGCCCGAGAGATGACCCTAGCAAGGACATGAGAACCCGGGAGACTCCTGTCAGTTTTCAAAGCGAATGTGCGCCGCGCTGAGGCCAGAGTCATATTTTGAACCAGGTCCGCCTTTTTCATCATTGAAACTGCTGCAGAGTTTGAGACGAATGGGCGTGGCGCGAAGACCAGAGCAACATTTTGGAAACGGCCCGCCCCCCATCCGAGAAACCTTTGCACATTTCAAGTTTCAGGATCAGATGCGGTGAGGGAGTGTGAGGCGAAACGCCTGGCCCGCCGTACCGACACGTCTGGGAGTACGACAGGGAGGTGTGATTGATTTGGAAGAGGGATGGAGGAGGAGGAGGAGGAGGTGGAGAAGGAGGGGGAGGAGGAGGAGCCCTGGGCCTCCATCTTCCGTACTATCCGTGTGGCCTATACTGATGGTAGATCATGTCCATGTTTGTCTTTGTTTGTCCTTTACAGCCTTCCCTTGTCCTTGTTTGTTCCTGTTTGTCCCTGTTTGTCCCTGAAGTCCTTGTTTGTCATGTTTTGATGGGCGTGGTCGCTTGAGGACTCGATTGGTTGGCTGGTCGGTTGGTTGGTAATGGGCATGGGATGTGTTGACGGTTTCGTGTTGTCGTGTTGTCGTGTTGTCGTGTGCGTGTAGTTGTTGGTTGCGGTGAGACGTGTTGTCGTGTTGTCGTGTTGTTGCGTTGTCGGGTTAATAACTCCATGGGATGCTGCATACGCGACATGTTGTTATATGATCATGCTCATGTATCGACATGGTGGGATCATGCACGCTGTGAGCTCACTATGTTGTGTTTACTTTAAAATGAGCATGTTTCGCATGGTTTGCTGTGTGCTGTGATTTCTTTACTTGTGTACATGTTCTGTCTGATCGTTGCTGGGACATTCAGATGAACGGTGAATTCATGTAGTTGCGAAGGAAGACAGAAACGTAGAGGTTTACACATGACATCTCAATTGGGCCTTGATAAATCGGACCTATAACCGTCCAAGATATCCAATGTTTCCTCGTGGCCGTCGTGGTAGGTTCCCGACAGCGGCGTGGGTTTTCGAATTTCGGAACGGCAGGGCGCGATGTCCGCGAATTGGGGCTTCAGTGGGGTCCAATGTCCACGCTTTCGGGCCCCATGCAAGGCCCAATGTCCATTGCTTTTGAGGCTGAGCACATAACGCATTGAAAAACGCAAAAAAAATATTTCTGAGTTCCCCAAAGCTGTTTGGCGTTATTTTCGTAGGAATAAGCGACTGTCCTCGGTTTTGGGCCTTGTTGGGCCAAGTGTCCCTGAATTCTGGGCTTGTGGGGAGAAGATGTCCGCCGATTTGGGCCGCGCTAGGTCCCCGATGTCCCCAATGATCCCCCGTCCCAGGCCCCCGATGTCCGCCTTTGTCCGCCCTGCAACGACCGCTCGCAAAGCCACGATGCAACGCCAAGAAGACAACATCTTACGAGGGACATTGAGGGGCACATAAAAACCCAGTCAATATAAGCATACCGATATGGATCTGCAAACAAAAACAGTCAAGAGGATACGGGGAAATATAGGCTAGGAGAGACAAACAGGCACATCGGACAGGGGGACATCGAGGGACATCGAGGAATAGCAAAGGACAACGAAGGACAAACAGGGACATCGAATCACCGGGACAAGCAGGGACAAACAAGGACAAATAGGGACATCCAGGGACATCCAGGGGCATCCAGGGACATCCAGGGACATCTAGGGGCATCCAGGGACATCCAGGGACATCCAGGGACATCGAACAGGGACAAGAAGGGACAGACAGGGACATCCAGGGACATCCAGAGACATCGAGGGACAAAGAGGGACAAAGCGGGACAAACAGTGACAACTTTGTAGTAGCA